TCATAAGTATCCTCACCCTTATATGATGCGCAAGTATGATGGAACCATCTTGAGCACCTGTCACACATCACCCAGGAGACATCGCTACCACGCGTTCCAAAGTCCTCTTCTTGCAGACACAATTCACAAGCAGTTGTTGGAACCTGGCCACTTGCACTCCCATGTGCACCACGTTTGCTCCGCGTTCTGCATCTAGCGGTCGTAGTCGTCGGCAGCCGACGAAATTGCGTAACGCACATTGCGCTGGTACCGGGAGCCGGATTTACAACACGATGGATCAAGGGTTCCTTGCGCGCAGGTTTCCGATGCCCTGGATCCTCCACAGAGACCACAGTAGTGGAAATTGACGGGCCTGGGATAGTTTCCTGACTACCATCCATCATAACGCGGTCCTCAAAGTTTGCCGACATTTCAACGAAGCCCGCCGCAATAACTTGCACCTCATTTTCACACTGACCTCCCAATAAACGTGGTACGTTTGCCGTGCACAACGGTATACATTCTGAACACTTTGACGTGTCGCAGCGAATGTTGTAATCCATTTAGCGGAGATAACATTCCCGAAAGCACGCAAAATATCCAGCGCTTTCAGATATCCCTCTGAGCCGAGACTTTGGACGTTCACATCGATTTCCTCAAACAACTCTTGCAAGCCTCTAATCTTTATGCGCCTGTCTATCACACTGTGTGCATGTCCAACTGCGGAGACCGTTTCACATTGACCGCAATCCAAGTTCTCCGACGTTTCAGATTGTACCGCTGGATCAATCAACCATCGACATTCTTGAAGGACATTGTGGGCATTCCGATTCTCCTCCGCCGCAACGTGCAATATGTGACCGCAAGGCATACGCCAATGACGATTGAAAGAACAGTCACAGTTACTGCCTTGGTGTATGCAAACGCGGTAGACAGCAGACCCGGATTCTGACACCACCCGGTACGGTCCATCCGGCACGACACCGATAATAGTCGTGCGCTGAAAATGCCTCATCACCCTTTCGCGAGCATATGCAGTCAATCTGCTTACAAGTTCTGATACCACAAATACATCACCACGTGCTGCATTACTTCGCATGCACTCCGTCGCTAACTAAGTGCTATGACAATCAGCCATACATTTCGCACGATGAACGATCACCTCGAAAAACGCCCGTAAGGAGGAACGCTCGTTCAAACTTCGTTTAAGATGCATATTTTCATTCTCCACTCGATTAGCGGAATTGCATCCGAACATCATGACATACCGTAATTGATGCGCCGCCCAGCATCTTCACCATGGCATCCATGTTCTACGGAAATACTGAAAGCATTCCGTATTTCTCTGCCGAATGGTTTCAAGAATTCTGTGATAACGCGTCTCCTCAGGCGTGAATATCAGGTTCCTCAGCAAACGGATCAGAAAAGCCTTTTCCGCTGGGTTCGCGACCTACAGCTGACTGCACCATCTGTTTATGTCCCGTAACATGTGGACACGGCACAACACCATGCACGCCTCCGGATACACCTCCCTGAAAGCGTTTATTTGTTGCGCGCATTTGTCTACCACAATAGTCCGCACGGATGCCGTGCTAGGAACCATTGCACGCATAGCTGTTACCGCCTCCAAATAACTATCCGTCGTCTCATTTGGTAACAAGGCGTGAAAATGGACATCCCTAACCCCGTGACGTCAACGAACATGCAATGCCATAGAATGTAGCCCCCGTAATTAATCTGATGCGTCGAATCCGCCAGTATAACTTCGCCGTATCGTGCAACCAACCTCCGAATACACGCAGGTACGAAGAACAGGAATCGCACCTCCAACCGCTCCCTCACAACCATACATGAACCTTCCCTTTCCAACATGGTGATTACATGTTCCACCTCACTAACTTGCTCCGCCTGACTCCGATGCCTCAGATGATATAAGTCACATCCGGTAATACGGATACCGTATTCCGTTAATACGAAATTCCTGATTTCACGTGTCTGACGAACGACTTCATCAACTTTAATACCACCGTTTCTTGTACTGCAGTAAGTCGCCAATTAGCAGGATAAAGCCAAGGTTTCCCCAACTTGAACACATGCGAATGCTTCAAGCAGGCGCGGCCAATCTCATAATACCCGCCTTTCAGTACCACAGAAAATCGGGCCTTACAGTTGTAGCATCTATAACGCTTCCCTATTCCAACCGTTGACCTGCGCCGACTGTCGTTCTTTGAGCACCATTTCTTGCGGTCCATTGGTTGTGTGAGGTCGCTGCATCACGTAAGCCATGCAAAGGTTCGACAACATAACTTGATTGGACGCAGCCACTCGCTCGAGACGCTCATCCCGTTGCATCAGCTGCGGTGGCTTGGACACGTACTGCGCATGTCAGCTCATCCTCCTCCTAGTCGCGTTGTTCGGGATTGCTGGACAAGACTGAAGCAGATGACGCGATGGACAACTTACAACTTGGAGAAGCGGTATGAAAAAGCTTACGAAGCAGCTGGTTTCCGTTGGTTGTTCTCGACTCGCTGGTTTGGATTTCAGAGATACAGAATGTCGTTGCCTATATACAGACCCTGGAAGTCATGGCTCAAGACTGATTTCATCTCGAACATGTATCGCTGCGTGTTGCGGTGTGTTCCTTTCCCTTCCCCAGAGAAAACAAGCAGTTAAAAGTATTAAAGGAAAATTTGCGCGAAGCAATTTTTCGACAAATCTCATCAGGCGTGTATAATTATGGTGCTAATAACCAAAGGAACATCACGCTATTTCCAACTAGCATGTGCAAGGTAGCGGATGTCCGGATAAGGGAAGTGTATAGGGGTTCAAATCAAACAAATTACAACGGTTCACCTGACTAAACTAAACTCATGCCAAGATAATGGCTTGCATCAGAGTCTTCTGCTTACATATTTCTGGCTGCAGCCGTCTGATTGCAGTGGTTTCAGCGGCAGTCAGGAACTACCTTTTGAACTCCGCTCCGATACAGCGTAGCAAAATTTAATAGGGTCCTTAGCCCTTATTTGGTGTCCGGTGTTAACTTGGTGTTTTAATATGGAGCTGTGGACATTTTTTGCCGTACTGTGCTGCAATGATGCGGATCAGTGCTCAGAAATCCTCCTCGATGGACGCTTTATCGTACGTCCACTATACCTAGCACCACAAACGCAGGTGAACTGATATACAACAACGAGTTGGACTCAACCGGAGCTTGTCTTTGAGGTGCTTCTACGTAATGAGAGAGGATGTTTCAGCAAGAATGTGGGCTCCTACTACCGGATAGGTGTGATTCACTGCGGTTGACACCTTTCTGCAAAGTAGCTCGAAAGGGAATTCTCCCTTGAAAGGACTGAAAGTAATACACCCTTCTTTCTAACAGTCATCATACACTTATGGTGATCGTGGACAACAGAATTGGTCTTAATGAAAGCAGCCGGATAGCGTACTCTGAATGAAATTCTTCTCTTCATCAAACGTCTCTGGGTCGCAGATTTTTGTAGCTCGACGGTACATAGTATGCACTAGGTTTCTTTTGTATCTCATAGGAAAGAAACTCTTTAAGTGCGTGTACCGGCCAACCCAAGTTGTCTTCCAGATCACTCTACTTTCAGGGGAACCGTCATCTCGTCGCCACAGCAACACGTCTAGGAGAACCAGTTTACCATTGTCCTCGATCTCGTAGCTGAATTTTAGCGACGGATGAATTGGGTCAAATTTGGAGTCACAAACAATGAAGACATCATCCATGTACCTTTGGCATGATACAACAGAAGCAATGAGATGTTCAGCTGCACCTGTGGTGCTAGGTATAACGGACATACGAGCAGACGTCTATCGAAGAGAATTGTTGAGCACTGTCGCGCATCATTGCAGCACGGTACGGTAAAGAATGCATACGGCTCCATAATAAAACACCTACTTTACATCGGATACCAATAAGAGCTAAGGACCCTTTTAAATTTTTCTACGCTCTACTGAAGCGGACTCCAAAAGAGCTCAAAAGGCATTTGCTGACTACATCTGAAACCATTGCAATCAGACGGCTACAGCCAGAAATGTGTAAGCAAAAGACTCTGGGTGCAAGCCATTATCTTGCCATGGGCATAGCCTAGTCATGGGACCTTAAGGTAATTTACCCATTGTAACTTGTTTGATTTAAAATCCTATACACTCCCCTTATCCAGACCTCTACTACCTTGCACACATTAGCTGGAAATAGCGTGATGTTCTTTTGATTATTAGCTCCATAATGGTATACGCCTGATGAGAATTGTCGAAATGAAATTTCTTCGCGCCAGTTGTTTTCTAACGTCTAAATGGGATAATCTACGAATTAAAAATATTCAAATATTAATATTCGAAACAAATATTACGTCTTCTTCTTTCCTGTTATTCTGTTTTTTATAACGGCATGATTCTGCTGGCACAGTCTCTGTCCAACAGATTGTGGCACCCATTGAGCGGAAACTTTTGTGTAGGCTAACTCCTTTGTCAGAATATTATCTTCTCGCTCCTAGGAGATACCCAACCTTTATGCCACCTGCTGAGTTGTTAGCCGACGATCTTGCGTGATCATATCCACTGTAAGGTCAACATTGTCATTGCTGGTGGCTGTTGATGGTTTTCCTGACATGGGCTCAACTTCAATACTCTTCTTGTCGCACTTTTCTTCCTGCGTCCAACGTTTAAATGTGGCTTATGAAGAGGCATTGTCATGCAATGTATTGAGCATCTCATAGTGGATTTCAGATGTGGACATTCTTTGAGATATAAACAATTTACCACTGCGCTCTATTTTCACTAAATTGCAGACCATGTTAAATTCCGAACGTAGATATATGGGTTTGTATAGTATGAATAAGGAAAAGTGGTATATTATATTCTAGGTTAGAAACTTCTCATTCATTGCGACCTTCGTATAACGAGACTCTTGTATACCCATTGAAACAGATTGTACACCACTCTACATCCGTTTTCCCTCCCTACAGTTTGTAATCCTATTTTTCTGTTCCCCAATTCAGGTCAACATCGGTTTACATGTGAATACTGTGAGAAATCGTTTGCTCAAAATGGCAGTTTGCGCTCTCACCTCAGATCTGTTCATTTGCGTGAGTATGGAACTAGGGATTTTATTCAGCCTGTCTTTTACCACTTGTGTTTTCGAATCGTTGTTGATCACATTGATTACGTTGGCGTTGTTTTGTTATTCTTACCTCTCGGTTGCATCTGACGTCGCGGAATTTTCAATATTTATAATGCTATTACCACAATGATTGAAGAATCTTTAGGCGTTTAATTATCTTAAAGTGGTGTTAGATATTCCTACTTCCTATTTGTGTTTTTCCTATCAACCATTGTCAGTCTTTTGCAAAACTTCGAGCCCCAAGCCGAGAAAATCACAAGTCAGAAACTCCGAAGAGAATGACATAATTACCGCACACCCAACACGGCGTCAGAGCGGTAGGGACAGATGGCAAGCCATTTCACTAGACAAGCTCACGATCTGGGCAGCAGAGCGTAATAGATTGTACTATTGAATTGCGGTTCCGCTATCGTAATTATGGACAATGTGATACAATAGGCTTATGAGTAAGGGGGACGACTCACGGGAACCTGCTGGAAGTGAATCCACGAGTATCGTTTAAACGATAGGCGATATGAAAATGCCGTTGATGTAACTCAGTAAAATAAGTAGTAATATAAGGTGCTAAGTCTGCACTTTACAGTGTTCGACGGGAAAGGTTAACATCAGAAAATGAATAAATTTGTAACTGTTGTCGCCATCATACTTCGTATCTGGGGGTGAACAGAGGTGGATTCATTTGGGTCATCGCATTTTTTTGCAAGTCACAAACAGGTGGATTGAACCGCGCAGACACATGTTGTTTTTTAGTGCTCTGGGGAGTAGTTTGCTGTCTTGAATCTAGAACCGATACGTGGTATTGAGCGAATGCGCCCACCGTATTGATAGGTCTGGTTCCACTAATGGGTTCAATTAACGCACTTGCGGTGGGACGGATAATATCGCGACAGGCGTTTTGTCCAAACAGCGTTGTGTTGTGCACACCATCGACCGCTCTATGGTTTCCAGTTTTTCGATACTTTACAAACTTGCATCTCCTTAGGACACCTATTTTAAGATGGGAGCCACATCGTAGAACGAATGCGTTGGATTAACTTGCATCCTTCTAGGCTGGATTCTGCGTTTAGCAATTGGTCTTTTTGCTTGGAAGCGTTTTCGCACGATTCCACGGTTCTTTACGTCGGCTCAATACCCTGGTAAGCTAACGTTTTCAACCAGTATAAAGTAATTCACATATTTCAACAGCATAAGCCCCAGTTAGGTTGGGTACCGGGTCGATGTCTGGAACCCTAAAAACAGGTCATATGCGACATTTCCCTGACTGTGTTCGATCTTGCCTAATGGTCATTATGTATACTGGTTCCAGTAGCCGCTGGCTTGCAAGGGCTTTCCAGGTTTTAATGAGCGCAACGTTTCTTCGTGCTGGCTGCGGAATTATCGCACTATTTTAAAATTTTACTCATAGAATTGGTTTCCTGAGAGTGATCTGATTATGTCCAGAGTCATACGTAACGGTCTATACATTAAATCTTCCGCTGGAGAAACTCCGTTCAATGCACACAGGTTTGATGTGAACCAGTACAGAAAAACCCGGTCGATATTTTCCTCCTCGCATTCCTTTCCTTTTGAGTTGAAAAGAGCGCTTTTGAACACGACCATCAATATTTGTTAATTTGTTTGCTGGTAACAAGTGGCTATAGTCAATAGTACACGTTCCGCAAAACTTCCTGACGATGGCAGAAATGAACTGCATTCGATTCTTTCAAATGTTTCGGAAAACTGGTAGCTCTGGTTGGTAATTCAGTTGCCCATTCTTTCGCCGAGCTAGGCAATTTGTTTGCAAACGTTTCGTCACCATGAGAGGCGGCATCATCAGTGCGCTGAGATGTGGTGTCATCTCGCTGATTGAATTGTCGATCCGTGATCTCTACTTATTTCCCCATGGCGGAAGTCGTCGCTCGGGTTGTTCCTATTTAAGCGACGTCTCGCAATTTCTCTAAGTGCTTTCCATCGAAGGGGCTGGTAAACTGGGTCATTGTCGATATGCATGTTGATCGATTCTCTGTCACAAGTGTTACCGGGCAGACGAGCCTGCTGAAGAACTGCCGTAGGCGTAAAACAATGATTTTGGTTTTGTTGTTATCCCTAAGGAGCACTTCGAACCCCTTGTTGTAGGAGTCCACCACTGTGAGATAGGATTGGTCCTTGATGGACCGGCAAAATCGACATGTACTCGTGATCACAGTTTTTGTCGTCCTCGGCTATAGATGAGACCAACACTTTTTCGGAAGTCTTTTTGAACGACCAGATAATGTATTTGTTGCGCAGCGTTTCGCTTTTGACATGAAGGTTTCTTCAAGTAACTTGAATTAACTTAGAATTTGGCCACGTTTCACCATAATCGTGTGTGGACACCGATCATGCACTTGTATGTGCTGACATGCGGATGCGTTTTGGCGGACGCCCACGACAACGCTGTGCGCGTATTGACACCAGCCAACTGACAAAACCAGCTGTTCTGAATGCGTATCGAAGTACGCTAACATGCGAGTTGAGCAAGCGCTCACTGGAGACAATTGATGGTCACTGGTCACCTGTTCGCCAGACCTTACTAGCAGCAGGAAAATCCTCATGTGGTATGTCTAATAGACAACATGGACATTGGGTCTCTTCGCAGTCTCTGGAACTTATAGATGCTCGCCGGCAAATCCCGGCTGGAAGCGAGCACAATGAAACTCGCAAAGAGCTCCGGGCAAAACTCCGTGCTAGCCTGAAGAGAGACCGCGAATCTTGGTGGTCTCATCGTGCGTCAGAGATGGAAGTGGCAGCTGCCCCTGGCAACCATCGTACGTTATTCCGTCTGATACGGGAAATGGGCAGCAGGAGACCTGGTGTTAGTGAAACAATTTGTGATGAGAGTGGACAGCCTATCCACAATTTGTCAAAACGTCTGGAGCGTTGGGCTGAGCATTTTGAAAAGCAATTTAACCGGCAAGAATTGTTCGATTCGCCGGTCACTGATCGCCCCGCTCCGTGGGCTGTCCCTTTGGATCCACCGTCTTGCTCAGAAGTCGAACGTGAGATCGGACTGTTGAAGTTGAACAAAGCAGCGGGACCAGATGATCTTCCTCCAGCTCTCTTCAAATTTGGAGTCTCTGCTCTTGTTGATGCTTTGCATGAATTACTAGTGAAACTGTGGGAGCAGGAAACTGTCCCAACCGACTGGAGCCGCTCCGTTATTGTTCCCATCTTCAAAGGCGGCTCGCGCTCGGAATGCGGCAACCATAGAGAAAGCAGTCTGATCTCCATCGCCTCCAAGTTACTCGCGTCCATAATTCTCCACAGACTGACCGGCGCTCGTGAAACCAGATTCGTGAGGAGCAAGCCGGGTTTCGTCGGGGTCGTGGCTGCATTGACCACATCTTCACCTTGCGTCAGTTGTTGGAGCACCGTCACACATATTGGCGGCCCACCGTAGTCGTGTTCCTCGACATCAAATGTGCCTTCGATTCGGTTGATCGATGTGCCCTTTGGAATTGTTTACTCAGGAAAGGTGTGCCCGAGAAATATGTAAATATTATCCAAGCATTATATGCGCGTATCTCGGGCAGAGTGAGGGTTTACAGCAGGCTGTCGCCACCCTTCAATATCTCCAGCGGTGTGAGACAAGGATGCCCGCTGTCACCTTTCCTCTTCAACTTCGCTATTGACGAAGTCATGGAGATTGCATTTACAGGACATGACTTGGAAGGTGTGGAGCTACTCCCAGGAGAACGACTTCTTGACTTGTAGTATGCAGACGACATTGCCCTCATCTGTGACAGCTCCCAGACGTGCCAAGCTGCACTGGACAGATTAGCACTGGCTGTCAGCCGCTTCGGGCTTTGCTTTGCACCACCGAAGTGCAAAGCGTTCCTCCAAGATTGGCAGGGATCGCCTCCTGCGCTGACTTTTGTTGGGGATCTGCTAGAAGTCGTTCAGAAATTCAATTACCTGGGAAGTTGTATCAGCGCCCTTGGGATCGAAGACGAGATCACGAACCGCATAGCGAAAGCTCGAAGTGCTTTTGCTAACCTTTGCCACCTATGGCGACGGCGCGACATTACTCTCGCCCTGAAGGGTAGAGTGTACAATGCAGCGGTACGTTCGACCTTACTGTACGGTTGCGAAACCTGGTTCCTAAGATCGGCGGACATGAAGAGGCTACTTACGTTCGACCATCGGTGCCTTCGCAGTTTGGCTCACATCTGGTGGGAACACCGCGTGAGTAACGAGCGTGTTCGACGCCTTGTTTACGGCCTAGGAAAAGGGAATGAACCGCTCAGCACCGTTATTTCCTGCACCAGGCTCCGATGGCTGGGCCACGTGTTGCGCATGCCAGCCCACCGACTCCCTCGACGTGCGTTGTTTGCTCACCGGGGATGTGGGTGGAAGAAGAGGAGAGGTGGCCAAGCGATGACTTGGTCCAGAGGAATGAAGGCCCTCACTTCGGAGCTGGCCTCGGTTGGAGCTTCACGGCTCCCTGGTTGGGGTCCAAAAGACGGTGAACACGTTTGGCTGGATACACTTGCTGATATGGCAAGGAGCCGACCTCAGTGGCGTTCCTGCTGTGAGGTTCTTTGTTCCTCCCCATCCCTTTTAGCCTCCCCCTCCATCTACGATCTTATCTCGTAGGGTAAAACGTAATTAAATTTTTGTTTTTGCCTAGTAGCCGGCTAGTAGCTTACCGGAACGATGCGTATCCGTTGCTGGTAGCTCAGTTGGCATTCAACTGTCGTATTTATTTTTCCTTTATGTATTGTATGTATGTATTTCCTTTATGTATTGCGTCACAATAGCGGAGGTGTTTTACCATCTCTAGCTGACATGTATAATGATAATGATGATAATCGTGTGTATTTACATACAGAGAGCAATCCGCATGCAATTCATTGGTAAAGGGTTATGGCAGAGAGAGATCATCAGGTTTACTTACACTGTGAGCATTGATATCATCAGGGTCGGGCGAAGTTGGCCACTAAATTT